TAACAATCCCGCACCAGACATTGAGGCTCCAGCGGTGTTGATTGTCAATCGCTCTATGCCAGTGCGGATTGGTATCGGACCAATAATGGCAATTATGACGGTTCAACTCCCCTGTGTTCTTGAACGTCGCTTCATCGGAAAACATCACAAATCTAAAAAAATTAGGGTCCCGATCGATCTGCTGTAAGGCCCACCGGCAGAACTCGAGGCGTCGATCAAAATCAGCAGGTAATAATGTTTGGGTCAAAGTGATATGATAAGCATGGTACTTCCGAGCCTTCAAAATCCGCAAGATTGTGGACTTCGGTATTCCTGTGGATACCTCCAGTCTACGGCTCGAAATATGAGGATCGAGATAGACCGATGCCAAAATAGTCAGCACTCGAACGTCATTCTCGTCATATTCGTGATGACGACGTTGACGTGTCATTTGCCCAGTACGTGCCCTCGTGGTCAAATTTCTGATCGTCACGTTACACGGATGTCGTCTCCTCGGAAAGCGCTGAGCGTAAAGTGCTGCGGCATTCACATGTGGCCGGTAGGAGCACGCAGAGAGAGACAATATGTCCACGTCGCTTCCGAGTAATGCTCACATTTTTCACTCGTAAGGAATTATTCGCTGAGAATACAAAATAGTGTTATCATTGTTATTATTATCATTATCCGCCCAAAAACAATATTGATAATAATAATTATAACAATAATTATTATAAAGCTAGTATAATAAATATTGTTCATTGAGATAAAACTCAATTATTATCATACAGCTTGTCTCTTAATATTAATAAGCAGAGATCTGGTGTGATTAAAATGGGAGATTATACACTCAATGAGATCGTTGATATGATTTATATTTTAGGGGAATGTCTAGGTGTCTTTGAATGTACTGGGCAAATGACACGTCAACGTCGTCATCACGAATATGACGAGAATGACGTACGAGTGCTATTTTGGCATCGGTCTATCTCGATCCTCATATTTCGAGCCGTAGACTGGAGGTATCCACAGGAATACCGAAGTCCACAATCTTGCGGATTTTGAAGGCTCGGAAGTACCATGCTTATCATATCACTTTGACCCAAACATTATTACCTGCTGATTTTGATCGACGCCTCGAGTTCTGCCGGTGGGCCTTACAGCAGATCGATCGGGACCCTAATTTTTTTAGATTTGTGATGTTTTCCGATGAAGCGACGTTCAAGAACACAGGGGAGTTGAACCGTCATAATTGCCATTATTGGTCCGATACCAATCCGCACTGGCATAGAGCGATTGACAATCAACACCGCTGGAGCCTCAATGTCTGGTGCGGGATTGTTAATGGATACTTGGTCGGTCCATTCTTTTTCGAACGTACTGTGAATGCAAATACGTACCTCGATTTGCTCACAGACCAATTGCCTCATTTGTTGGAGAACGTAGACTTGGAAACCAGGCGAAGGATGTTCTTCCAACAGGATGGTGCACCACCGCACTTTGCACGTATAGTCAGGAGGTTTTTAGATGAAAGGTACCCGAACCGATGGATTGGTCGAGAGGGTCCGATTGCATGGCCTCTTCGTTCTCCTGATTTGACGTCACTCGATTTTTATCTCTGGGGCTATTTGAAAGAAGTTGTTTTCAAAGAAGAACCAACAACAAGAGAAGATATGGAAAATCGCATAAGACGAGCTTGTGAAGCGATTCCACGAAATGTCTTGCTCAGCACAGTGGCCCATTTCCAAAGAAGGCTCAATTATTGCATAAATGCTAACGGTGCAACTTTCGAAAACCTTTTGAATAGCTAGATTAACAATAGCAAAGTATGCATGGTGAGAAGCAAGGGGACTCACTCTAAACAAGCACCCCGAAAGAGGCAGAATTCTACCACGTCCACGTCGTTGTCTCTGGGTAATGCTAAGTGTAGAAGATAATTTAGAAATCCCCGTATACAGATACGATTTTCGCATGAATACACGTACAAGTTCCTTTTGACTTTGAAATGACCTCAAAACATGACATTTGATCTTATCGATCATACCATATCCTATTCTAAAATTTCCCGCTCTTTCCAAATCCGGGGTCTAAAATAGGCAATTCTATTTAAAAAATGTTATTTGACCTTCAAATAATCCCTAAGGTCAAAGTCAAGGTCAAATTCAAGGATATGGTCATACGTCCCCCTCCTTGTCCAACAACTTTTGTATAAAACTTTTTTCATTATTTCGCTCACCGGTCGAGTTATTCTCCATTAAATGTTAAAATGGTCCACCCTGTATATTTACACCTTAACAATGTAATTTCCCAAACTTAATTTCTGTATTTTTCTTTGGTATGGTAATTTGAAAAACATTGACCAAGATGCATTCTTGGTTTTCCTGGATATGTATCACAGTAGTAAGTGGTCTCGTGTCTTCCACTTGGTTTGTTTCGAATGGAACAAACTTTACAATCACTTTTTGTACCACAAAGCATTACGTGAAGTTTTCCATTGAGCCGAATCTCATCCGAGTTGGAGGTCGATGTTGAAGGTCGTCGCTCCTGTCGAAAATCACCTTTCAATTGCTTCACTAAGATTTTCCGGAATTGTAAGTGGTTAAGTGGCCGCTCGTTTCTCTGCTTTTTGACTAATTTGTAGAGAATATAGGAATTGATTAATGAAATTTCTAATCCCCAAAAAAATAATTTACGCCACCACTTCAATGATTTACGCATAAAGCAGTAGGTCGAGGCATACTGATCCGCCAAGTCAACGCCGCCCATGAATTTTATATAATTTACGACAACATCGGGCTTTCTAACAACAGTTTGAACACCATGGCGGAGTGTTCGTTCTACGTTACTCATCGCCGCATTATGAAAATTTGTGAATAACGTAACAATTCGCTTATCTTTACACGCTACAACAAAATTATCAAGTTTGCGGTAAGCTACCATCGATTTTTCTTTTGGAAGTTGTTTTTTTCTAATTGCATCTGGTAACTATCTGTTTTCTATTGGGCATGATTGTCCCAGTCAAATGACACTTCAATTTCCGTAATTCGATCGCCAAGATGTAGCTGGTGTAATACCGGTCGGTAAACATGTGATGTCCCTGCGCACCAGGAACTCTATTCAACAGCATTGCATATAAATGCAACGGAATTCTTGTTGATACTGGTAGGTCCGATCTGATCAATGTTTATGTTGTAAGGCTGCCATAGTAGGGTAGAATTCCGCAAACATATCCTGTACCGGAATCTGCCAATGTATATATTCGGATGCCCCATTTAATCGGCTTTTTTGGGTTGTACGTAATAAATGAAACCCGTCCTTTGAATTTGACGACAGATTCATCAACACAAATTTCTTTGTCCGGTGTGAAATGGTTCAAAAGTCTGGAGTTTATGTAGTCAAGGTAGCCAGTTATCAGTTGCAAACGTGTTCTGGTGTTGCTACCTGACGCTGAAACTATCTCTGTATGTAGCATCCAAAAAATTTGGGTAAACCGCTCTCTCGAGAATGTATTCGGGAAAAATAGAATATGACTTGTAGAGTCTTTTGCCCAATATTCCTTTAGATTGGCCGCTGTTATTGTCCCCATATTCACTATAACTGCGATAAATGCCAAAAATTCTGACATTATACCACGTGTGCCAAATTGATCGCGAGGATAACGCTGTTTCCTCTAACTTTCTTGCAGCATAGCGGTTTGTGTCTGCTACTACCTGGTCCACTAGCTCGTCGGTAAAAAATAACTTGAAAAAATCAAGAGGCTCTACAACACTCGAGGGTACCTGTGGCCCTGCAGGTCTTTCGCTAGGAATGAAATTTATCCTGGGTGGTATTTCTGTAGACTCGTCACAAGGTGTCCATTCCGATTGATCAAAGGTGTGTAAGGCATCACTGTCATCTTCAGATTCGCTGTCTATTACCCTTATTTTTCGTCTCCTTACACCCATGATCACATCATCATCTTCATCACTGCTTTCATGTTCTTCATCATTAGCCTCTCGATCAATGCCATCGATTTCGTCCCGGAGTATTTCGAAACAAAATTCATCTTCGCTAGAACTGATTTCGCTCCTAATATCCATTTTTGTCGGGGTCGAAATCACTTTATACAAATTTTCCTGATGCTTCTGCCACGATCGTCGAGTCTCAACTGACTTCGGAGACATTTTCAAAGCCACAGTCTTAGAAGAACCTTTTACCAATTTTATCTTATCTCCGTTAAGATGTGTCATTTGATACTTCATACAAAAGAGTATAAACAGCTAAGGAACCTTTCCAAGAACCAATGCTGCGTTCCTATCGTTTGGAGCTAACGTAATCTAATATAAACACCGATTGGCGCCTTTCACTCGCCATCCGACCTGTCGCGCGAAACGCCGTGGCGACTGAGAGTCGCCTTCCGACCGCAAAGGGCTAAACCTCCTCGCCCATCGGATGAGTACCGAGTGTCCTATACCGATGGGACCACGAAAATCTGTACCGGTTTAAATTTAGTTACTATACCAATAAAGGAAACTAAACGATCCTTGACAGATTTATTAGTGGATACCGGATCTGCTATTACGTTACTTAAATTATGAAATTTAAAAGGGGAAACCTTAATTCACGATAAGAAAATCACTGTTTCGGGAGTAACCGGGCATAAAACGGATACTTTAGGCGTAATTATAGCTACTATATTGTTATCCGACCAAGAAATAAAACATTCAATCCACATAGTCCCTGACGACTTTCCTATCAATTATGATGGCATCATAGGCGCAGACTTATTGCAGAAATACGGAGCCACCTACGATTATAATATAAGGCAGTTACACATTCGTAATGCCATTTTTACACTATATCCGTGTAATAAGATTATTTTACCACCACGGAGTGAAACAATTATACAAGCTTACACTAGCCATAATATCACAGGAATAGTACAGGCTCGAGAAGCGTTACCAGGCGTATTTATTGGAAACTGCTTAGTAAAACCACATGAAAATACCTGTCCTATCAGTGTCATCAACTTAACCGAAAAAGCAATGGAGATTCCGACACCGTGCGTAACCATAGAAAAAATAGAAGCATCCGATGTTACTACAAATCCTGAAAGTCGGCAACATAAGTCACGTGGGATATTACAACCGCGCGCGGAAAGAATAAAGAAATTACTACGTTTAATACATCTGAACCCCAAAGAACAAAGGACTATAGAATATATCTGTGAAGAGTTTCGCGATATTTTCCACTTAGAAGGAGAATCTCTGACCTGCACGGACCGAGTGGAACATGAAATAACTACACGTATTGATACTGCACCTGTTAACGTTCGACCTTACCGATTACCTGAAAAACACAAACTAGAGGTAAATCGACAAATAAAAGAAATGCATAATGGTATTATACGTCCAAGTAACAGTCAATGGAATGCACCCTTATTAGTGCCGAAGAAAAGTGGTGCTACCGCAGAACAGAAATTGCGAGTGATTACTCGCGATCTACGATTGTAGACTTCCGAAAACTGAACAACCTTACTATTGGAGATTCCTTTCCTCTACCTAATATAACGGATATATTGGATCAACTAGTCAACTCCAAATATTTTACGACATTGAACCTCGCATCGGGATATCATCAAATCCCCATGGCTGAGCAAGACAAGGGTAAGACAGCTTTCTCCACACTCCACACTCCACACACCTTACGGGCATTATGAATTTACTCGAATGCCCTTCGGCTTGAAAAACGCACCCGCTACATTTCAGCGGCTAATGAATTGCGTCTTATATGGAATTCAAGGACTTCGGTGCTTAGTATATTTAGACGATATATTTATATACGGAGCCAGCTTACAAGAGCACAATCAGAAGCTCAAGGAAGTAATGCAAACCTTAAGAGATTGCCACCTCAAACTACAATCCGAAAAATGCGAATTTCTCCGAAAAGAAGTAATATATCTAGGGCACATCATTATTAATGAAGGGATTAAGCCAGATCCTTCAAAATTGGAAGCCGTGCATAATTTTCCTACTCCTATGAATGCATAATTTTCCTACTCCTATAAGAATAAAAGATGTTCAATCATTCATCGGGTTAGCAGAATATTACCGTAAATTCATTGAAAACTTCTCGAATATAGCAAAAACTCTCACGAAACTAGTGAGAAAAGGTGAAAAATTTATATGGACCACAGCGCAACAAAACGCTCTTGACACTTTAAAAGAAAAGCTTACAACAGCGCCCGTCCTTAAATATCCTAATTTTAGCCAGGAATTTATTGTCACTACCGATGCTTCCGATCATGCTACAGAAGCGATATTGTCGCAAGGACCAATAGGGCGAGATCGTCCTATCTCATACGCCAGTCGAGTACTATATCGGGCGGAGCAGAACTATAATACTACCGAAAAGGAACTTTTAGCAATCGTGTGGGCTGTTAAACATTTCCGACCTTATTTATATGGGACCAAATTTAAGATAGTTACCGACCATAAACCCTTGACATGGCTATTCAATGTTACCGATCCTGGATCAAGATTAATACGATGGAAACTAAAACTAGAAGAATATAATTACGAAATCATCCATGAGCCAGGTAAAGCAAATTTGAATGCTGATGCTTTAAGCAGAAACGTCGCCCCACCTATCCTCAAAGTAAGTACCGAAAGTAAAGAAGACACTATCCAAACCGAAGAAAAGGAAGAGCCTGGTGCTGCACGAACCTATAGTAAAGAAGAAAAAAGGCAATTATTATATGAATACCACGATGCCCCTTTAGGAGAACATCAAGGTTTACAATGCACATTGAATAGGCTTCGACTAAATCATAACTGGGAAAACATCACAACGGATATAAAAAATTACATTAATCAATGCATCTATTGCCAGAAGAGTAAATTAGCGCCTCGCATTAAGTTACTTTTAGTGCTCACTGATACTCCTGATAAGCCATTTGAGAAATGCGCTCTAGACATTGTAGGACCTTTAACGGTAATTAATAATGGACATAAATATTTACTAACTTTCCAAGACAATCTAACAAAATTCAGTAAAGCAATCCCAACTCCGAATCAAGAAGCATCTATTGGGTGAGTGCAAAAGTTCGTGCGGAGTTTCAATAGATGGAGTTATAAGCGTCGTAAAGTGTTGTCATTAATACTTCCATCTACATATTATATAACATTGAAAAGGTGACGTCTTCAGCTGTTATTAAAAAAAAAATCATTTGTTTTCATACAAACTGCTTCGAGAAATATCACTTTAAAAATGAGTATCGATAAGGTGCATTTACGGCATGTTATGCCGTAGATGCTTTACGAGTTTCGGAAGGGAATAAACGTTGCCGCAGTCGTAAAAAACATTCAGGATGTTTATCAGGATGAGGCACCAGCTAAACGAACTGTGGAAAAATGGTTTGCTAAATTTCGGCGCGGAGAATTTAACCTTGAAGACGAGCCACGCTCTGGTCGACCTTCTGACATTGATGACGATGTTTTGCGTACTTTAGTGCTCAATAATCCGCGAATTTCAATAGAAGAAGTTGCTACAGCACTAAACGTTGACCGATCAACCGCTTTTCGGCGTTTAAAAAAGATGGGATTCGATTTGAAGCTCGATATATGGGTGCCCCATTTGCTGACCGAGAAGAACAAAATCAAGCGAATTTCTGCAGCCGTTTCTTTACTCGGGCGGCTCAATAACGAGTCGTTTTTGGATCGACTAGTGACGGGCGATGAGAAATGGGTCCTCTACAACAATGTTCAGCGCAAACGGACATGGAAACAATCAGGTAAGCATGGTGACGCAATGCCAAAGGCCAGTTTGCACCCGATGAAGGTGATGCTCTCTGTTTGGTGGGATTGCAAGGGCATAATCTATTTGGAGCTTCTCCCCGCTGGCGAAACGATTGATTCGGACAAGTACTGTCGCCAATTAACCAATCTGAATCGAGAAATAAAAGAGAAACGTCCGATTTTGTCAAATCGCAAGGGAGTCGTCTTTCATCACGACAACGCCAGACCACACGTTTCGAAAAAGACGCTGCGCAAACTGAAGAGCCTGAAATGGGATGTCTTAACGCATCCACCGTATTCTCCTGATATCGCACCATCTGACTATCACTTGTTCCGGTCATTGCAAAATTATTTAAATGGAAAAAACTTTGACCCTTTGGAGGCCTTAAAAAACGGCGTCTCTTCGTTCTTCGAATCTAAACCGCGCAGTTTTTATGATCAAGGAATCCGTATGCTGCCAGAACGTTGGGAAAAGATTATAGAAAACGATGGAGAATATATCATTGATTGAATAAAGATTTTTGTTTGCCTAATCACTGTGTGACTTTTACTCACAAACTCCGCACGAACTTTTGCACTCACCCAATACTATAGGAGGTGGAGTTCCCATTATAGTAAGAGCATCTCGTATTGTAGCGTGAGTTACTGAATCAAATGCTTTAGCTAGATCAAGAGATGTTACGAAAAGAGATTTATACTTCTCGCGATGGTGCCGAAGGACCAAATCGAGCAGGAAAATGTTGTCGAAACCTCCATCTGTAGGCCTGAACGTCCTCTGTCGTTGATCAAAACTTAGCATTCCAAACAATCGCGTTGCCAGAATCTTGTGCAGCGCCCTTATTAATACCGAAGATACTGTAATTGGTCTAAAGTCGCCTGGGGTACTTGCAGCAGACTTCTTTGGTATCAGTGTGGTGATTGACTCTAATAGATGGCTGAGTGCTTTCTGACACCACATTATCAGATTAAATATTCTGCACAGTACCTCCGAGGGTACCCTCCTTATCATACGAGCAGAGAGTCCATCAGGACCAGCAGAGATTGTATTTGCTGGAAACGACTTTTTAATTTCATCCGAAGTGACAGGTCTCCATAGGTCTTCCACAACCGGCTTTGTTTCTATAATTCCGGGTATGGTGTCTACGTCGGATGACATGATAGTTTCCCAGAAGGGGATCATGCTCTCCTTCGGAGGGGGCCTCGCATCTGAGAAATCTTCGAGGATCATCCTTAAGCACTTGCTTCTGTTTTTCCGCCAGAGATCTTAAGTGCACGCGTACTCAGCTCGCCGCGCTTGCTTTTTGCTTACGTTTCTTACCTCAGTGCGCTTAGGGTTTCGTATTTCGCGCTTCTTATTAGGGAAAACCTCTCTCAGATACAAGGAAAGTTCCTCAAAGACAGCAGCTCGGTCCTTATAGGAGGTGGAATTACAAATGCGCGTTAGAAGACGTGGATTGAATTCTTCAATATTTAATGGTGGCAGGTTTTGGATGTATTTACTTAATACTTCATCATATTTATGCACGTTCAAGATATTCGGAATGTCATCCTCATATTGGGGTTCATCTCGGTCTGTCTCCTCAGGAATGGTATGGACAACTTGTTTATACGTAGCTTGTTTCCTTTTTCCCTTAATACCATCCAAAGTTCTTTCTGGGAAGGCAAGGACTAGCTCTTGATTTGTAAATTTAACGCCCCGCCTGACAAGCTCCACCTCCTTCCTCGCGAGCATCTTTGTCTCCTCATCACTCCGTTGCGCTCGAGCTCCAACAACGTTTTGTCGCCTATCGTACCAGTCGGGGTGTCCGCGACGATAGCGAAGCGCCCGGACTGTGACTGCTGTAAAATTACGCATGCAACCTGGATATTCGCAGCTATGACCCCTGGAAGGCCCAGCTTCCACTTCGGCAGTCACAACTCGGCTCCGCAAGACTGGTCCCCGACGGCCAGAGAGGGCCCGGGGTTATTATTTTCATCCGAGGCTTTCTTTCTATTAACCGGGTCAGTCTAAATAAAGGCAGAGGAGGTTGGCAGCCCCCAAAGCCCTAGGTCGCTATACTCTAATTCGGCCGTTGTTCTCCAAGAAGTGACAGCGTTACCAGCGGGATCACGAGGAGGTATGGACTATAACTTGGTCAGGAGAGGCTCAATGCCAAATAGTTGACTGTGTTGCGCATCACTGACCTGAGTAACCAGAGCTCTCAGCAAGTCAGCCCCGACGATGGATACTCGAACTGGCGTGGTTTTCAGACCACTCGGATCCTCGTATCCTAACAACTTGCACAGCCTAGACGCCTGGTCTTCGTAAAGCCAGCCAGTGCCTAACAAACCTTCGTCGCAAGGGTAAGGTTTTACCCGACGATGCAGAACCCATCAAGGCGAGAATCATACCATTCCGTTCCTGCTGCGCCCAGTGGGACTGCTTGCGATATAGGCGAACCTAGAATGCTGGCTCAGGGAAGGTCGAGGGAATGAGGCCCTCAGTCAATCCCTGCCAAAACTGTGCTCGTTGGCCAAAAAGTGCGCAGACGACCATAATGGTCTCACAATAATCTATCGCGTGACCAAATTTTTTTTTAACTTGTCGTCAACAATAAGAAACATTAAGGGGGGTCCGATATCGACGGGCAATACCCGAAGGGACGCAACCGACACACATATACGAATTGGGAACGGGTACCCATACAAATTGCCCCAGACCTCCTCCCCCTAACCAATTCCCCGCCGCGGCTCAGGAGCTCCTGCAAACACCATCGCCGTCATCCGATTCCACTCAGTCCAGTTGTGGCTCCCTTGGAGAACTCGTGTTGTGATTCCCCTCAGGAACTCTTTGGTCAACCCCATGTGAAGGAGTGTGTCAGCGGAGCGGGACGACCATACACCACGCCACGAGAGCGTGCAGAATGAAAACTGCACCCCGGTCGTCGCATATCTCATCACGAGTGTCTGTTTCAGGCTGTTGTTATTGTCATAATAACCTCGCTTCCACTCATGAGGATCGTCCAAAGAAGAAGCTCCGCTAACAATTTGCACGTCCACCACGTGTACCTCGCCACTACGTCGAAACACTAAGTCGGGCTTCCTTCTGTCCTTATCGGTCTCGAACACCGGTTCTGCTCCATTGACCAGCCAGCGTCACGCAGCCCCGCGGCGACAATGTTCGCGACCGTGTTGTGCTGCTTGACACGACCACCGTGCGTACGATGGCACTGCTGGATGGTATGCGCGGCCGTCTCGATAATATTGTAGCCAGCACGGCAGAGCGAGGGGCGTTCAGCCCGCCTCATCCCACGCGTAGTTCGAATTAACGTCGGCAGGCTGTTAATCCACACGTGGGCGTACTGAACAAAATCATGCCCCGGTATTGCTACCGATCCGACATCGAGGAGGTTCGGCTCCAGGAACACAATGTCCACCTGGAGCACTCTCTAAGCTCTCTCCCATCAACGGAGTTGTAAAGCTGTTGACTCCACCGCTCTCTCCGTAAATGCACCGTTGTCGCTGGCGTCTCATCTTCCAGATCGAGCGCTCGCCTCGCCCATCCGAGTTTACGAAGAACCCAGGAGGACTCGGCAACAGTCCTAACCGCGGAGGACGAAGACTGACTCAACCGTCTAAGGCGGTCGAACGTCAGCCCCGGAATAGCAGTGGCAAAGGAGGGAATGCCCAGTCACCATCACGTACGGATGCGTAAAAGAAGCCAACTGCCACGTCAGGAAGTCGCATCCACCTTCGCACGGCAGCGCGGACTTGTATGTCGGGGGCCTGCAGACTACCTAAATTGGCTCGCCCCAGTACAAGACCGTGGTAGAAGCGCGGGATCAGAAAACAGCGCAGGGCCTTAAGGCGCTGCTGGAGTTTGAAAGGTTCCCGCATCAGCCTCTCCAACAGGTCGGCTAGATCTGCGCAAATTCCACGCGGCCCCATAGGAGTAAAGTCGATCCCCAAATGTTGCCAAACGGCGGTCGAAGACAGCTGGGGGATGTAAGTGCCATCCTGCAGTTTGAACATGGGG